TTTCCACTCACTGAGCTTAGAGGACTTCTACTCAATTTTCCCATCTGATTTCCTTATTTCTCCTGGGCTCTGTGAAGTTTGGAGGTTTTGGTAGCCATAAAAGCAGCTGTTTTGCTTAAGGGGCTTTGGAGCTAGAACCATCAGCTGGGACAAGCAGGTGTCCCTCTGGCCTCTCAGAGATCAGACCTGAAGCTGGGACATTTCTCTGGCAGTGAAGGGGTCCTGATGTGGATGGAAGAGCACTGGGCCTTTGGTGGGGCCAAGACTTAGTGTCTTCCCATCACGCCTGATGGGAAGAGACTAAGTCCTGGCGATCTTGGGATAACTCAACTGCTGGCATCTCTCTTGTCTTCCAAATTTTTACAGTGTTTGGCATCTGCAGAACCCACCCTGGTGGTGCTTATTTTTCTTGACTATGTCTTATAAATAAATCCCAGAAAATTAAGGAAGAAAATATTCCTCCTTGAAATTGAAGGACTGACTGGACAAGAGAAATGAAGAGAGTAGGAAACTTATATGCTGTTTTCCAGAATATTCATTTGAGTACCGAAAATTTTTCAGGATGTGGGGGAATTGGAGCCACACAGTGCTGTGCCTAAGTCTTATTCCTGGCTCTTCACTCAGAGGTCACTCCTGGAAGTGCTTGAGGGACCACATATGGTACCAGAAATTGAACCTGAGTCAGCTGCATGCATGCCAAGTGCCTTAATCACTGTACTATCTCCCTGAACTTGACTACCAACAACACTAATATTCAGACAAAATAAACTTACAAAAAGTCACTTTTCAAAATTATATATTGAGTATAGCAGAACTATAGTCAGATGTGTGGAGGTCAAGTTATTGATAAAATCAAAACTAATTTTTTGTTCAGTTACCAATTTTATTAGTTTTCATCCAGCAATTCTAGCATTTTGATGCAGATGTTTCTTCTCTTTTATTCAACGTTAAATTGAAATGGAACCTCTTTTAATGAATCTGAAGTAATTAGTTAGAAAATACTATTAAACTCCAAGTGCATATTACATTCATACAGACTACATTTCTGGAAAATATGCTCAAAATAAAATGATCAAATTGAAACTTTAAATGTGGAAAGGGTGCTATATTAAGATCTCAGACTTAATGTTGTTGTTGTTGTGCTAAGGATCACACCCACAGCCTCACACAGGTGAGGGAGGCACACAAAACTGCCACTGAGTCACTTCTGATTCTAAGCTCTCGGACTTTTAATCAAAATGGAATGTCTAATTTCTCAAATAAATAATCACTACAACATGGTTTATAACTTTTTATTTTCTGGATTTAGTTTTAGTTATGAGCAAATTTCATTTCTTTATTAAATCTATGCTTTTTGCTTGTTCTAATTGATACTAGGCCTGGAGGTGACTGCCCTAGGGAGTGTTATACCTTATCAAGTATCCTTCAGATGCACATATTTCCTGCTTAATAAGAAAAGACATTGATTCCAATGTCAAAGCTATCAAAAAAGCAAATAACTTATCTTTTATGCTTCGCTGTGCTTACTACAAGAAAAAATGCAGTGATAAAAAGAGGGTAAACTGAAAACCTTCAATCAGTTTTTCAGAAAGCCATTAACTGGCTCTAAATCACCCCTAAGCTTTTCTGAAAAATTTGTCAAAGAGGTAACTTTGGATTCAGAACGTTCAGTGAAGTTGAAGACATACTATATATCCTGGTAATAACTGAGACAGCAATGTTATCAGCAGCAAAGTTTTATTGTTTGCTGCTCTTTATTACATATTTCATTTGCCCCTCTGTGGCTTGAATTTGTAACATTAAAGGAAATAGCCCATTTGATTAAAAACAAACAAAATTACAATAAGATTCATGGCTGCAGAAACAAGTATTGAAAAATGTGATAGCCATTGAAAGTATGTATTACAATTCTCTCTTACCCATGGGTTAAAATATTGATTGCAAATAAATCTGGAAATTTACCTGCGGTAAAGCATTTCATTTCTTTGTCATATAGAGACTAGAAGGATGGAGAGATAGCAAGAGTTCAAAAAAGAAGCAATTAATATGTCAATTTTAGTAATTTTAGGTGAGCATTTATTTAGGAGATAGCATTAAGTTTGTCCCTAAGGTATACAGTGCACCAGAGCTTTGAAATTGATTCAGAGTAAATATTTTAATGGAAGCTATTATGAAATCTGTGTCTGCTAAAGATACAAAAATTATCAACATCACAGCCTTATAGATTTTGAGTGCACCATTAGCAGTGTACTGCATGGAGCTCTAACCTGACATGTGTCAGAGGTGGGGTTGTAGGTGCCAGTACTCAGAGAAAATCATACATAAGATTAAATCATGAGCAAAGAAAAAGAGAAAGAATTACTGCCACTACCTTTGTTCTTTAAAACGTTATTGGTAGTGCATGCATTATCAGCACATTTAACTGATTTACAGTGATTGTGTACAGTTTATAATGTGACATAAACAGTATATTGAACTAATAAAAATATTTCTGCTTGTTTAGACAAATGGGCACAGCTTTGTGATGAGTAAAAGAGGCTCAACTTCCATAAAATGTTCCCGGACATTAATTACTGTACTTCTAATACCAGTCAATCAAATTAAGTGGGAAGTTTATAAAACAGTTGTTTGATACCTGAGGTCTAGAACTATATTTTTTAAATTTCTGAGGGATAGTATTTTATTATATACATAAAGCGTATTTTGTTGACACTTAAATTTCTAATTTTACTGAGCAGCAAGTTTTTGCCTTAAGCATATTCTGTGATGACATCAGTCTTACTATAGAACACTTGAAAATAATACGTGTACATGCATATCTATGGTAAAACCTTTCTAAAAATTATAAAAATGTATTAGTAAAATATAAATATATCAGCATAGGGAGATACTCTGAATCAATTTCAAAGCTCTGGTGCACTGTATACCTTAGGGACAAACTTAATGCTATCTCAAAAGGTTGGAATGTATGCACTGCGAAGGGGAGCCTTCATTTACATCCCTGGCACCACATAGTCACTTAAACACTGCTGGGAGCAACCCCAACATTACGCTGGGAGTAGCCCCTTAGTAAGGGCAGATATGACCCTACAATAAGCAAAAGCAAATATACATATAAAGATATTTTTGTATTTAGGTGAAAATTTCATTTTCTATTTTAAAGTTGCACAATGTAACACTTTTCATTCATATATTGGAGATGGGGTACTTAGGAGTCCAAGAAGTACTGAGGAATCCTGGGCACCACTGCCAGCAATACTCAATCAGCTAGGCATTTGTTTCAATGCTTAGGCTTGAGGCTGTGGAGCTATGTAGGCCCAGCAGTGCCAGGGACCCTGAGCCTGCCCTGGAGGTATATGGGGGCTCCAGGAGCACCCTGGGAAGTGCTCGGGAAACCATACAGTATAGCACACCGCCAGACTAGTTAATTACTCCCCAACCTCTAAGATAGTTGAAGTTCTGTTTTTTTTATAGAATTCTAAGAAATAATATCTAACTTCATCTAAACTAAAGTGTAAAAAGAAATTGCTGTATAAACTAGTTTTAAAGTCACTAGCTATCTAACAGCTCAATAGAATTGTGATTGTGCTCTCTAAACCTGAAAATTCAGGAGTCAAAGTCAATTTACGTATGCAGCCAGATTTTGTCAACTTCTTTTAAAATATGCGTATCATCCTAGGAGTGTCTTATTCTGGCCAGTGTGCTGTTTATAAAACGAACTTATCAGAGTGACCCATGAATTATAGTAATAGAAACTGATTGGCATCTGCTGGAAACTTTTTTTAGCCAAGATAGGAACCAGATGAATGGAAAGATCTAAAAATTATCCTAATTGTTTCAAGTAAAATGGCATTTGTTATGTCTTCAAATTTTATCAAAAGGCAATCAACAGATAATGAGCAATAAAATAAACATGCACATATGTACATATCTTTCTATATATAATAAACATGTATTATTTAGAGAACAGTCTTTTTACAAGCTTAAATTAATTATGTTGGCGTGAGATCCAGTGTGTCAGGGTTTACTCCTGGCTTTGTGCTCAGGGATCACTCCAGGTGGTATTTGAAGGACTATATGCTGTACTAGAGATCAAACTGGGGTTGAATACAGGCCAGGCAAGCACCTTATCTTCTCTACTGTTGCTGTGGCCTCAGAATTACATTTTCTTCTCTATCAGATAGAGTGGAAAGGAAATATTTACGTGCACAAAGCGGAGGGGTAGGTTCAAATTCCAGTTCTGTCTCCTTTAAAATATATAATTGTGATAAGATATATATATATATATAATAGCATATACAAAATAAGTTTGTTCTGAGCTCATAGAAAGATATAGATATAGATATAGATATGGCTTTAATATTATGCCTGTATTTTTTTTTTTTTTTTTTGCTTTTTGGGTCACACCCAGCGATGCTCAGGAGTTACTCCTGGCTTTGCACTCAGGAATCACTCCTGGCGTTGCTCAGGGGTCCATATGGGATGCTGGGAATCGAATCCAGGTCGACCACATGTAAGGCAAACACCCTACCTGCTGTGCTATCAATCCAGCCCCATATTTTAATTTTAATTTAACTTAATTTTTGTTTTTGGTTCATCCCCATTGGTGTGTGCTGGCCATTAAGTGCCTTATCTCCTGCAATATCTCTGAGACCCATACGCCCAAAGGTTTTAAAAAGAACAAATAAATAAACTATAATAAATAGCCTATTATGGGAATGCATGAACCATGGAGTGAGGAACCTTAGTTTGAATCACGGTTAATGTCATTATTTCAGTTATCTTGGGCCTCTTATTCAGAGCCTCCATTTTCTTTCTTTTTTTTGGAAAGAAAATTCTAACCCTCCTTGTATGATGAGGACAGATGGAAAGTCCCTGCGTTTGAGGGTCATTTAATATTAGGCTACCTTTCCCCACAACACTAGAGCTTGTTGTTAAGGAATGAAAACATTTCTTTATGCTTTTTATGACAAATTTAACTGATTGTGTACTTCTTTTAGGGTGAAGATGGGTTTCACGGCTCTCCAGGCTTGCCTGGTTCAAAGGTAAAGAGATTTTCAATGTGTCATTAAATTTTAACAACTTGAACACTGAATTTGCACATAATAGAGTGAAATTTCAGAAAATGTACTTGATATAACCAAGTGTCCCTAAAAGAGTCTTTCAGAGGACATTAATGTTTCAAGAAAGAACCCTCAGAGTTAATCATAGTTTTAGCAATATACTTCTTTAGAGAAGTGCTTTCTGGAGTATACGTAACAACTCTGAAAATTATTTCACAATTTCCAGTCTAAAATTTCCACTGCCTTTTCTATCTTTGACTTTATTTGATTGACTTTTATATTTGGTTGTGTGTAGCCCAAATGGAGCTAACCATTCTCGGTCATAATGACATAAAGTATCACTAAGAAGTTAAAAGAAATCTCTTCCCCTAAATCCTCACTACAAAAAATTAACTTTCCCATTGCTTGAGCTGCTTCTTTCTTTGCCTAGAATTTTTCACTTACTAAGGAGCACTGGCCAGGAGAGCTTCATTTTTATCTGTGTCCTTCTCTTGTCCATAAGCTGCATTATCTTTCTGGGAAGGAGTTAGAGTGACATTTCTGGCCGGTGACACTAGAAATACAGACACAGATCTAGTCCAGTTTCCTGGAGGGATAGGCAGTCACTTCATTTGGAGCCAACTGTTACAGTTCCAGCTAGCTAATTCCACCACAGGCCTGAGCACTGTTGATGCACTCTTAAATGGCCACCAAGGCCAAGCATATCATTTTTTGCTCTGGAGAAGTTTTACAGGTCTCAGACAGAAGATGTCAAAAGTGATTATTGCATCTAGGTGTTTGTCTTCTAAATATTCCTTCTAAGAAAAGAGATGCATTTTTTTTTTAAGTTACAGACTGAAAACATCTCTTTTTCTTGGCTTGATAAAGATTGTAAAATCAAACTGGCAGCAATGCAGTGAAAAGGTTGTGAGTGTCTCCACAGCAGATCTAGACAAAACCCATCAATACAGCATGTGCTGCATCTGTGAGTCAGGTTGCAAGCCAAGGGATGTGCAGATTTATCTTCTGGGAAATAGTTTTGGACTTTCCAGCAGCTGTTTGTGGTGACTGCATCATGCTGACATTGTGGCTGGTGGACTGGGGGTGTTTAGTGGTTTTGAAGTCAGCTTGACTTAGTAGATCAAGTGAAAGTCTGTGAGGAGAAAAGCTAGGACCGGGAAACAGTAGCAAACCTATCCCCAAATTAACCTACTTTCTTCCCCAGTACTTTTTTTGAGGACAAATTAAGCAGTAATATTTATAGAAATCCCGGGTATGTATATAGGCACATATACATGTACTAGATTAGACATTATACAGAATATATTTTGACTGTGCTTCTAGTAAAAGACATATTATTTTCTACCAAATAAACTTTTATGATATAAGATATTACAGAAAAGAAAGATAGATAAATATGGGCATAAGAAACTCTTTATGTTTGTCTCTCAAATGTGCACTGAGTATGTTGTGTGTGTTTGGGGGGTGAGTATGACTCATTCCAGCACTTGCTTGCTGACTGGACTCTCATAAATATTTGATGCAAAAAATGCATAGAATAAATACAATGTTGGGTTTATAGATTAAAAAGCAATACTACAAATACCAAAATAGATAATGAGTAAGTAGAAAGAAAATATGTGAATCATAGAGAGTGAAGTTGAATTGGTAAACTTTTTGAACAAATATATTATCAAGAGGCAACAACAAGATGGCTACCAAACTCTTTTCTGTAACTGAGGGGCAGGTTGTCTGAGATAAAATAATTGACAATGGGGGTTAGAGCTGAAGCTAGAGTTCTAAGACTCAGACCTAAATTCAGTCTTCCCAAACTCTCCCTAGTATTTTCATATTTCATGAAAGTTAAGAATAAAAGTCTATTTCTAGTTAACCTATTAAAAATAGTAATATAGTGGTAATAACAATGACTACTTTATTCTCCACCAAGCTATAATGCTGATGTTTGAAATTCTCAAAGCACTTGAGAAAGGTACTATACATGAGGCAACTTAACTTCATGGAGAAAAAACTGCACTGCGTGGGCAGCAGTGACATTTTAGCTTTATCATAGAAAATTATTCCTTCAATATTTAGGAATAGTTAGCATTAGTGTAAATTAAAAAGATATTATAAGAGATTTATAATTGCCATTATTGATTTTTCACTGTTGGGAACATTATCATTATTATTGTAACATTTACATGTGTTAAAGTAATGTACCTATTACATACTTGTCATTTCTCTTCTATAGGGAGAGCAAGGTTTTGAAGGCAGCAAAGGAGAAATTGGTGAAAAGGTAATATCTTTCTTTACATATAAATTTATAAAAAATAGAATTTTGAAGAGAAAAATTTAAATTGTTTATGATTTTTAAATAAACAATATTATAATTTTTAAAGCAATTTAAAACATTTGCTTTAATTAGGAGAGGCAATATGTTGATCATTGTCAGAAATCTAAGTTCATTTGCATGATACCATATCTAGACGTTTCTACTTAAGTACATCCTATTGCTATAAATGATTCAAGATTTATTCAGTATTAAGTTTTTGTGTTGTAACATCTCTGGTGTACTAAGTGTCAGTCTTTTAATATTTTTCTTATATTAACTCCTGGTTTATCAGTTCTAGCAGAAATAATAACTAACAGTAATAGTCAGAATCCAGTAGAAAGGAGATGACACAACTCAAGTTAGAATAGATTGAAAAATATAAATAAAAGAATGGTTTGAAAGGCATGTTTAAGGTATAGGAAACTGAAAATGATCATGTAATACCCCCTATCAATTAACGGTGAAATCCTGAAACTTCAGTGACTATGTTTTGTCAGACCCTAGAGGAAGTTAACTGTTTGAAGATGGCTTTCTACAAATAGGAATTGAGGAAGCAGCTAATCCAATGTTTAAGCAATGGTTGCTTTACAAATTTGCAGTTTTCTCTTGCAAGTACAGAAAATAATAGTACCTAAGTCATCCAAATTTTCTCTTAAAGCATTCTATAAATCTAGTTTCACTTGAACAAAAATGTTAAAACATTTTGAATATAGAATAAAAGCAATGAAATTTTTGTTGCTGTTGTTTTATAAAATATCATCAGAGCTGGAGATAGAATACAGGGGTTAGGATGCTGGCCTTACAGCTGCAGACCCCAGTTAGGTCCCTGGCACCACATGTGATAATCCCCTGAACTCTGCCAGGAATGATCTCTGAATACAGAGCCAGGAGCAGGCCTTGAGCACTCCTGAGTATGGTCCAGAAATTTCAGCCAGAAGGAGATTAGAGAGGGAAGAAATATATTCAAGTTAGGCAATATTGCCTTTAGTTTTCTTTTAAGTAATCAATTTATTTGCTTCTTCAGTGTTTATAGAAAGAATTAGCATCTTCTAAGTTTCTTGATGATGATTTTTCCTCAGAACTGTGAGGGAGAAAAAAGAACAATCATATTATCATATAAGTGATGATAATTTTATTATGGTGAGTTTTTTTAAAAGTGGAATTCTCTCTTTTTTAGAATCCCTTAAAGATTTTGTATGTAAAATAACATTACAAAATTGTACCTCTAAATAAATGCTTTATTAACAAATTCATATTTTACTTAATACTACTCTGGCTGTATAAGCAAGCGAGTATAAGAAAACAGGTACATACTTTGTTATTTACAATACCATCTCACTAAAATATTACTGGCTATTTTTATATTTTATATGCATGATTGTTATTGCTCAGTAATTGGTTCTTTCAAACTTTGAGTTATAAAAAAACTTTTCTATTATATTTCAAAGATTTCTGTTCTAATACCTCTTATGTATTTACTGTTCACGATCACGATCATCCTGTTGTTCGTCGATTGCCTCAAGCAGGCACCAGTAACATCTCCTTCGCCCTATCCCTGAGGTTTTAAAAAGTGCCATATTCAAGTCTCTTTCAGGGTTAGGAGAATGAGACCCATCATTGTTACTGGTATTTGGCTGTTTTTACTGTTACATTCAAATAATCTTAACTGTGCCATGAAAATACAGAGAATGATGACAATTATAGGTGGTTTACATCAAAAATAAGAATCATAATAACTCTGATATTAAAAATGTTATTTCCTTTAATATTCCCTGTATAAAAGATTTCTGAGATTTTTCAGTGCTTTGTGCTGCTAATTCTGATTTGTCACCGCTTGCGTTTTTCCATGAGATGAATAATAAAAGACCCAGAGAGATAATAAAGCTTTGCATGTGACCTTGCAGGTAAAAGCTCTGTTTTATTCCCAGCACTGTTTGGGCCCCCAGGCATTGCCAGGTGCAGCCCTGGACTCCCCAGCACTACAGGGATGACCTGGCTAAGCCCTGGAACTGCAGCACACCATCCACAGGCTGCTACATTAACTACAACCTGTTTGGTTGGGAATTGCAGAGAGGGACCCCCTGCGCCCCCAGAAAACCACTTGGAAAACAAAAGTAGATAAATAAATGAGGTCATTAGTTCTGTTTTTAGAGTAAAACTTTTTGTTTTTAGTTTAGTCAACTAAGTATATGTAGCACGTTCATATCAGCATTGAGAGTTGGACTGCTGGAAGCATCACTGTATCACTATCACTGTCATCCTGTTGTTCATCGATTTCCTCAAGCAGGCACCAGTAACGTCTCCTTTGTCCTAGCCCTGAGATTTTAGAAAGTGCCACATTCGAGGCTCTTTCAGGGTCAGGGGAATGATACTCATCATCGTTACTGGGTTTTGGCATATCATATACGCCACGGGGAGTTTGCCAGACTCTGCTGTGTGAACAGGATATTCTCTGTAGCCTGCCAGGTTCTCCAAGAGTAAGAACTAGATAATAAGAGATCGTGCAGCCACTAATGTGGACATGCACTTCTGGGAGATGGGTTTTCTAGTCTCTGGGTCTTGGCCATTGATGGGATAACATGGCGCTGGGAGCATTTGGTGGGTGTAATACCTACCTACTGGAAGATGAGGGATCTGGGTGGAAAAGGACCAGTCCCGATCCAAGCAGGCTTGGAACTTGGAAGCATCATTTATTAAAAAAAAAATTTATATATATATATAATTTGGATTTCAGTTTTTTGTAGAAAACTGTGTATATAATTACAATAATTTCATCTTTAATGACCTTTTATTGACTTTACTGTTTAAAAATGAAGTGTATGAATAACACAATTTGCTAGCTACAAAATTAAATAATTTAGTAAGTCTTCATTGTTCAGAGATGTTATATGTACCAAAGGTATATGGCTACTAATCCAAACAAAGAGCTATGTCAGGAGAATAATATGTGATGATTTGGGAGTGATATTATAGTAATCCAGTGTATTGCAAGTAAAGAAATATGTTTTCCTGTATAGAAAAAAATGGCCTTCATACCTTCTTAACTCCTATCTTGAAATATTTTACTTTTTCATTTGAAGCATCGTGATTTGCAATATTGATAATGATAGGGCTTCATTAAGACATCACTCCAACTCCACATCCACCAATAGACTGCCCCATTCCCTCCATCAATGTCCCAAGACCTCTTCCATTCAGTTCCTTTGCCACCCACCACCTGTCCCTGGCCCCAGGTAAATTTAGTTCTTTAGACCAGTTCTTCAGTTCTATTGCCTTTGGTAATTTGTTACTTACTTACTATGTTTCTTTGTATTCCACTAATGAGGTAGATCATTCTGTATCTGTTCATTTCTGACTAACTTCACTTATCATGATACTCTCCAGATTGATCCATGGAGCTTTACGAGGTTAAGTCATTAACAAGAAAGATAAAATGGTTTCTCAACAAATCAAAGATTCCATCCTTTGCCCAGAAAACACTTGGTGTATATATTATTATTATATATTACATATATACACATATATTATTATATATTACATATATAATATATATTATATGTATATATCCTAGCAACAATATCCACGACATTGGCAACTATCACCCAATCTGCATATTGTCTGTCATCTACAATCTGTTCACTCGAGTCGTCCTGAATAGGATTGGCAGAACACTAGATGAAGGACAACCATGCAAACAAGCGAGTTTTCAAAAATGATTCAGCACCATCGACCATATCCACACGATAACCAAGCTCATTGAGGTTTCTCAGGAGTTCAAGATGCCCCTCTGGCTCCCATTCATTGATTTAAAGAAGGCTTTTGATTCTGTTGAGATGGAAGACGTCATCGAAGTCCTAGTCAATCAGGGTGTTCAAACTCAATACATCAGGATCCTCTATGAGCTGTATTACGGATTCACTACCAGGATCTCACCATTCTACAAAGAAGTGATCATCCTTGTCAAGAGAGGGATTCAGCAGGGTGATACTATTTCACAGAAACTCTTCAGTACCATTCTTGAGAATGTCATGCGACGACTGGAATGGGAAGGAATAGAAGTGAAGATAGATGGTCAGCAACTACACCACCTCCACTTTGCTGATTACAGCGTTCTAATAACACCAAACATCAGCCAAGCGGCACAAATGCTGACAGACTTCGACTGTGAGTGTGGAAAGGTCGGATTACAATGGAATCTCACAAAGACAATGTTCATGAGAAACAGTCTTGTTCCAGACATTCCATTCACTCTCAACGGAACGACCATCTCCGAATGCAACAGTTATATATACCTAGGTCAAGAAGTCAACATGATGAATGACCTGGCACCTGAGTTACGCAGGAGGAAGAGAGCGACTTGGAACACTTTCAAGAGTGTCGAAGAAATAGCTAAGAGGACAAAGAAGATCCAGCTCTGAGCACATCTCTTCGATTCCACTGTTCTTCCTGCATTAACATACGCCTCAGAGACCAGCGCCCTACGCACACAGGATGAGAATGCTATTCCGGTCTCTCAAAGAGGAATTGAAAGAGCTATATCATGGTTCACTCAAATGAGAGATAGAATCTGGAGTTCTGACCTCCGTCGACGATCAAGAATCTGGATGCTGTCTCATTTGCCAAGGCATCGAAAATCAGATGGGCTGGTCACGTAATGAGATTTAGAGACGATTGCTGGACTAGAGACATTACAGACTGGATTCCGTGGGACGTCAAAAGATCGCATGGACGCCCACCTACGAGATGGTCAGACTTCTTCGTCAAGACCCTGAGTAATTGGTTTGAAGCTCTTCATGTTCCTAGAATGAGCAGATGCCATTGGGCTACGCTAGCACGCAACAGGGATGAATGAAGACGTTACTGGTGCCGGCTTAAGCAAATCAATGAGTAATGGGGTATCAAGTGATCAAGTGATCCTAGCAAAATATATAACTATATAACATGTAATAATTTATAATGCATTA